GCTGATAATTAAGTAGAAAATACTTTTTTTTATTTAATTAGTAAATTTTGCTGATAATTAAGTAGAAAATACTATTTATTAATTTCATTAGTAAATTTTGCTGATAATTAAGTAAAAAATACTATTTATTTATTTAATTAGTAAATTTTGCTGATAATTAAATAGAAAATTCTATTTATTTATTTAATTAGTAAATTTTGCTGATAATTAAGTAAAAAATACTATTTATTTATTTAATTAGTAAATTTTGCTGATAATTAAATAGAAAATTCTATTTATTTATTTAATTAGTAAATTTTGCTGATAATTAAGTAGAAATCACTATATATTAGTAAAATATACTTATTCAAAAGAAAAAAGTCAGTTACTAATTCAAATTAATAAACATATTTACTAATTCAAATTTGTCGAGTATATAATTGTTTTGTAGTTATAATAATGCTTTTTATATAATGATAATTTTAGGTAATTATAATTATAATTTTTATGTAAATATAATTTTTATATAATTATAATATAATTATTTACATAATTACAATTTTTAAAAAAATCATCACTTCGATTATTTTTTAGATCAATAAAAAAAAATTCAAAAAAAGCGACTGAAGGGGTATTAGTGTGAGTGTGGAGGGGGGTGGGGGTGGTTGCTTTGAGAAAATGATTCACCCGTCCATCATACAATAGATTTCATAATAAAGTATAACGTGAGTCGTTAATAATAATGGCGTGCGTGCTCGTACATTGGCTGCTCGCGTAACAGCGTAATAAACGTCCGATAGCAATTAATCTAGTTCAGTGAATGTGGTTTACAGTTTCTACTGGTACCAATTATATGAGTAGTGTGTGACACAATCATGCATTGTTCGGTTGGCTTGTTATTGTCTGTCGATGCCTTTATAAAGGAATTTGTCGTTTTTGAACTTGGCGTTGATTCTAACCAGATTCATGAAATTGGTTGATTTCAAGTTTACCATACAAGTGAATACCGTATTCGTATAGGTCAATTATTCACGACGTAATTGAATCTATGCGGTTATGAAATAAAAAAAGAGAGAAAGAGAATTTTTTTCCCCCACAAAAAAAATCACCATCATCATCAAGTTGTGTGTGAAATTGAGAAATTTTTACATTGTTTTTCCCTCTGATTTATTTTTTTTTTGTCTAATTAATTTGATATTTTTGTGTTATTTTCTCTTTAATTCATTTTATTTCTTTTATTTATTTATCTCTCTCTCTCTCAATGAAATTTAAATTCATTATTTTTAATGAAAACTAAATTCAAAAATATTCCATGCGAAAGGAAAACTTATTTTTTAATCTAAAAATGGAATTTAAATACGAAATATGCAAATTTCGGAATCAAATTAAATTTGAGAATTACATTTGAATTTTAAAATACTGCGAATTGGGAAAAAAAGTAGTATTAATCCTTTTTTTCGGAAAAATAAAAAATGTTCAGTAGAAAGTTTACAAAATTCTGTATTGAACTATAAATAACGAGCATGTAATCATGGAAAGCATAACTATTCGAAATGTTCCTAAAATCATGAAACTCAAAGTGTTTCAACTATTAAATAAACCATCAAGACATGTAACTATAAAATATAATTATAGAAACTTACAATCATAAATACAGCTCGTAATAAATTTTATCTACAACAGCCAACAATGATAACTAAAATTCAAATAATAACAAATTATTCAAAATTATTTTCCAATGAAAAATGGTAAGGAATTATTATAAAAAAATACTGAGATAACTAAATGAAGCATAAATAAATATTTATTTTAAAGAAAAGAAACTTTCATTTTGTTTTTCACTTTTTAGAAATAAAAAAATTATTCGTAAAAATTAACATACTCCCGATAAATCTATTGTCATAAAAAATTACAGAGAATGAAAATTTCGCACAATTGTGAAAAGTTTTTAAGTGACTTTCACTTCCAAATTAAAACTTTCTTGAATTAAAATGCCAGAGAATTTAACTTCCATTTCTTTGGAAATGTAAATTTCATGAGAAACTTTTCGATTGTAAACTGGCTTTTATCTCAATTCAACGCTAATAAATGTAATACGCCGAATAGATATATATGAAGTAGATGTTGTTGGGAAGGAAAAAAACTAGGAACGAAAAAAGAATTCAATTATTAATTCAGTTAACTATATTAATCTTCATAATCTTTCATGCATTCTGTCTGCAGTTTGAAGTAAGTTTTTGTGTATGCTTTTGTTTGTTTTTTTTTCTTAAAAAAATATTTTTTGAAAAAATCGAAAATGTGCAGGTGTTTTTTCATGATTCCTAATAAAATAACATTAAAAATTAGAAAATTTAAAAAAAATTATGATTTACAAATTTTACTCAAAAAAATGTTCTGTTACATTTATTTACGAATTTGTTGAATTAAATTGACTTTAAAAATTTGAAACATGAAAATATCGATCACTCCGAGTCTTCGACTCGAAGCAATCGATATCTTCATGTTTTATAATAATTAAAGATGTTCGAAAGATAAAATAATTATTTTATATTATTAGAATATTGTTATTGTAACTTTTTCAAAATTATTTTTATATTCAATTATTATCTATAATTTTAAATTAAATAAATTTTTAAATCAATTTTTATTAGAAAATTCTATGAGAATTCAATTATTAAAATACAAAAATTAATTACTTATTGAATAATTGGATGTTTCTTAAAATTTAATTCTTATAAACAATTTTATTACCAAATTTTTAAATAATTGAATTTTTTGACTAATTTTTATAAAATTTTTAAAAATAGTTACATTTTTCAAAGAATTCGATTAAAATTGTATTAAAAATAATTGAAATTCTGCGATGAATTTTATTATTTATGAAAATAATTGAATTCCTAAGAATAATGTTATTAAAATTTTTTTTAAATAATTGATTTCTTTTGAGTTATTGTATTAAAATAATAGAGATATTGAAAATTATTGAAATGAGGAAAATTTTTGAAAATAATAATTGAATTTTAAAGAATTTTTTATTTATAAAGATAACAATTGGGACATTGACAATTTTGTCGAGATTTGTTTGTAAATTTTGCACCTTTTGCAGTTGAATTATTTATGAAAATTGTAAACGCAACTCTTTTAAAATTGAATTAATTTTGAAATATTTGAGTAAAATTTATTATTCATTTAATAGTTTATAAGTCATTATTTTATTATAGTTGTTCAAGATTTAAGTTATTTAAAAATAATTTATTGTCAGAAATTAAAAAAAATTGAAGGTTTTGTATTATAATTGGTGGTAATTTCATAGTTTATGAGGCAAACAAAAAAGACACAAAATTTAGAATTTTCTTATAAATTCTAAAAATTTAAGTTTTTTCCGTACTTTTAAATAAAAATCCCTCACTTTTCCCTGAATTCCCCGTGTCAGAATATATGAACCGTTCGCTCGAATAACGGCTTAAGTGGTTTTGAGGCATTTTGGAAAGTCTTAAAATTAACACTAATTTATAAATTATAGGTAATTTAAAGCATTACTATTTAATTTAATAGGTTTTGCTTTAAACAATTCCAATCAAACATTATAATTTAGATGTTAATTAACAGGATGGTAAGCGTCTTTTGAAAAACGGCTTAAATCAACTTAAGCCGTTGTTCGAGCGAACGGTTCATATGATTGTTATAGTTATAATAATATTAAAACTGTATTCCAATTCCTATTTTATTTTTATGAAAATAAATTGGATTTAAAAATTTTTACGTTGTATTATTTTTAAAGTTGCTAATTTTATTTTAAAAAGTGAGTAAAAAGTTAAGAGTTGTTGTATTTGGGAAAATTAAATTTCTTTACATTTTTCCGATCTCTTTTCTAAATATTAATTATTTTTTTTTATTCCTTCTGGATTCTATTTACCATTTTTTATTTATTTATCTATTTTCATTAACTTTTGATTTTTTATTTAATTCAGAACTTTTGTAAATTTTAATTCTCAATTCTAATTTAAACTTTTAATTTTTAATTCTATTTTTTAATTTTAATTCTAAATTCCAATTCTAAATTTTTTATTCTGTTTCTTATTTTTTTTTTGTAAATGCAAAGTTTTCGCCTTCAACGGTCGACTATTAAAACAAACCGAATGGGTAAATTTCATCTGTAAACTCGATATTATGCTTTTTTTCACATGAAAGAATACGAGTGGAGGCATTTCTATTCTGAAAAATATCAAGATTTTCTTCTTGTGTTTTTGTAAAAAAAAAAAAAATGAAAAAAAAAGAAATGAAATAAAAGAACCTTGTTAATTGCTGTCTGATTCCTAATTTCTTTTTCCGTTCGAGTAACTCTAATGGCTGACGATGGAATTCAAATGCTAGAGAAAGCGATTAAGTCGTTTTGTAAAAGCTCGAGAGATATACAAGTAATGGACTTGCGAGTTTCTTGGAATGCGGTACTTCTTTCCCATTAAGCGTCTTTCGTATAACCGTTGGGTTGAATGCTATTAAGCTGCTCGTTCTCCCATAAAGATAGAAAGAATCTAGTACATTGAGCCAAACTTGGACATTTAAAAAATCAGCTCAACCGAAAAGTAATTTCGATTTTTCGCAAATCATGAACAGAATTTTTCCTCTCCGTTTGCCGTATACATTTATATAAAGACATATATATAGTATTCATTATAGCAATTTTAATTCGTCGGGGAATTTTTTTTTTAAATTAAAATTTTTTTTACCATTTTTCTAAAGTTTGAGAATAGAGAAACAAAATTTAAATAATTTAATAAATTTCTTATTCCAATGTAGACAATTTACTAAGTTACTTTTTATTTTATTTTAATTTATTTAATTTATTTAATTTATTTAATTAATTTAATTTATGTTCCAAACTATGTTCCTCTATTATTTCTTAATTTTAAAATTAATTGAATTAGTTGCTTATTTGTTTGGTTAGATATGAGAAAAATATGAAATAAATAATTTTTGTAAAGTAATTAAATTGTATTAATTTTTGAAAAATGACTTACCTTCATAGACGGTGAGTTGAGCGGTCGCTGACACTGCATCCCCGACTCCATTTTCGGCCACACACTCATAGAGGACGTTGTCTCGCGTTGGCCTCACTGGTTCGATCCTCAGTATTGCACCATTCTGATATTGCTCAACGTGATATCGAGATTGTGATTCTATTCATAAAAAGTTGAAGAAAAAAAATTAGAGCCACATTTTTGATAAAATTTTTCAATTATATTTTTTGTTTCATAAAAAACTTTAAATATGCTAATGTTTAACTTAAGTACTGCTTATTTTTCATATAAATATCAAACACAAAGAAAATATTTTCGAAATAAATTTTATTTAGTTGTGTTTTCTTTGCATTTTAATAATAATTCGATAGTAAAATAAAAAAGAAAACGAATAAAAAAATTATCACAGAAAATTGTCATTATATTAAATCGAAAGTATAAAATTGCAACGAATTAATGACAAAAATGTGGATCAAATTAAAAAATTGATTTTTGGTATCAATTTGATTTAATTTTGTATTAATTTGATAGTTTCAAGAAAACTGGAGTGGAGTATTATTTTAACACCAAAATGGATTAAAATAATCTACAATGCTTTAATTTATAAAGAATTAAAATAATCCATCGAAGGATTATTTATTCCAAAATGTTTTAAAAATTATTTTGGTTTTGATATAGACACTTTTTTTCCTGGAAAAAATTAGTTCAAAAATGGATTAATTTTATCCTTTTCGGGTGTTAATTTAAGCTGCAACGCTTTTTAATACCTTTTAGTTTACTGTGTATATAATAGTTAATAATAGAAATTATAATAATAAAAAAACTTTTAACAGTGTAATAATAACAATATAATATTGTTAATAATTTTAGTAATAATAATTTTTTCCGAAATAAAGAAAGTTTTGTTGAATAGAAAAATTTAATTTAATATTACGTTGCCATAAAACTTTTCTATTAAATTCAGTCTTAATTAAATAAAAAACAGGTGTAGCAGGAAAAATTAATTAAAAAGTTTAGAAATTATGTTATTTATAAAAAAATTTTAATTTTTGAAGTAAATTCTAGAAAAAAGACTTAGAAAAAAAAGTAAATTTTTTTGCAATTTAAAAAAAGTACCTAATTTTTGTAGAATTTTGTTTACTTTTAGAAAAAAAGTAAGTATTTTTTAATTAAAAAAAAAATATTTTTGTAGAATTTTGTTTACTTTTAGATAAACAGTATTTTTTTTTTAAATTTAAAAAAGTGATTTTTGTAGAATTTTGTTTACTTGTAGAAAAAAGTAAATTTTAGAAAAAAGTAGGTATATTTAACAAAAATATATATTTTGAGACTAAAAGTAATTTTTTTAAAATTTAAAAAAGTTGGGTTTAAAGAATTTAAAGAGAAAATAAATAATAAAGCAGAGAGTAGAAATATTTAAGAAATATAAAAATTCTTTTTTTTTCGAAGAGGAAAAGAAAAAGTGTCGAAATAGGGTCCAGGTGTTTTTATGGTAATGATCGACATATGTTACTAGACTGGTTTATAAATTTTACTGGCTGTTCTTCATAACTTTATCGTTCCACTATGCTGATCGCTTCGTAAATATCCATCAAAAAATGATATACGATTTTCATAAAGAAAATTTATTATCATGAATAAATTTATTCCATATTTCATTTGTTTATTATTATCAGAAATTATTTCCCTTTTTTCAATATTTTTTTTATTTATTAAGGTAATTTTTCATCAATTTCTTTTTAATTTCTAAATTAAAAAAAAATCTTCAACTCTTTCTCTTCCTCTTCTATCATAAGAAACTTTTCTCAAAATTTTTCTCTTTTTATTTTCGACAATGAAAATGTTTTTTAAAAAACTTTTTTCTATTTTGAAATTTTAAACTTTAAACGAAACTGAAAAAAATTGGTTCCCAGGTAAAAAAATTTCCTGGAAGTGAAAAAAAAGGAAAATAGAAAATTCTTAGATTCCTAAAATTAATAAATGGTGCCATAAATTAAATAAATGAGGAAGTATCCTCAAAAATAGAAAAGAAGGGGTAAAAATCAAAAAGTATGTAAAATAGCAAACAAGTTTGTTCAATGAAACGTTCAAAGAATCTCGAGTATTCTAAAAGTGTATCGAAACTGAGAGCGAAAAAAAAGTAAAAGAAGAGAGAGAAAAAAAAGAAAATAAGAAGAAAAGAGGAAAAAAATAAAAGAGAAAAAGAAAAAAATAGAAAGAAAAGAGCAAATGGAAAAAAGGAGAAAAAAGAAGAAGAAGTTGTTCGCTAAAGAGAAGAATGAATATCATGAAACTCGTGAGTGTAAGTACTTACGTGAAACTTTTTTGCCATTTTTGCGCCAGAATATTTGGGGTGGTGGTGTTCCGCCGGCCCTGCAGAAAAAACTCGCTATTCCACCAGACTTCACCTGCTGCGACAGTGGGCTGACCAGGATATTTGGAGGTTCTGTGAACAGAGCAAAGCGAAGAAACTTCAATTATAGAGAAACTCTCGAGAACAATGTTGATAATATATATCTATACAATATAATAGTATATAGTGTAGGAATGTGTGGGTAAAATGTACAGAGAAAAAAGTGTGCTTCTGTCGTTTGGATTATAACAAAAAAAAAAAGAAACTCCAGAGAGAGAAACTTTCTTCGTAAAGAAATACGGGTAAGACAAAAAGAAATCACGAAAAAAAATTGAATAATTTAATAACGAGACATGATAAATTCTTGAGTAATAATAAATTTCTAAATTATATTTTATTCATTTTTTTTAATTTGTAAACAAACACAACGAATGATTTACTACTATTGTTTTATTATTCGATTATTTCTTTTATTTTTTATTTTCTTTTTTTTTTAATTTTCTTGTATTTATGCTAGAATTTATGAATTATTTATTATTAATAATTTATTATGAATTTATGAATTATTTATTATTAATAATTTATCATGAATTATTTATTATTAATAATAATATTATTAATAATTCATTATGAATTATAATCCTTCATTTATTTACTAATTGCACTTTAGGATTCTGTATTCTCTGCAATTTTAATCATAATGCAAACAATGTAAAGCTATAAGTAGTAATTGTCCATTTTAGTCAGACTTACGAGACCCTGGTTGTCCGACTGTAAAGGAATGTGCTACTTAGTGATAATTTCAATTCAACCGGCGGTCTGACTGAAAACATTCTCGTGCCACTTGAATTAAACTTTACACTCATTGCCAATAGGCTGACGGAAAATGTTTGCTCTACTTGTAATCCCTTTAAATTACCAAGCAATTTTTTATCAAATCTTTAAGATAAAATCAAAAAGATTTCAGTAAACAAATTTAATTTTTTTTTCCACTTTGTTTATTAATTATAAATAATCTATTATCAATTTTTTAAAAAATTCAAAATTAAATAAATAAAATAGACTGAGAGAAAATTAAAAATTTGTAGGTAATAATTTTCATATTTTTTTTTTTTATTAATTTGCTTATTAATAATTTAAGAATTCAATTTATAGTTGAAGAATTTTGAAAATAGTTTAAATAAATTAAAAACAAAAAAAATCTTCAGCTTAAAGTTTGATGATAAGTAGTAAATGCACTTTTTAGCCGGACGTTTGATGTCTGACTAAAAAGGGATTATACTACTTAAAGCGATTTCCATTTGGGTTTGCGGTCTGACTAAAACATTTTCCGCACTACTTGGAATTAAAGTTTACACTCATTGACAACCGTCTGACTAAAAAGGTTTAGACTACTTGAAATTCTTTCCCCACTCGTTTTATTGCTCGAACTAAACATACTTTGAACTACTTGCATTCAAGTTTTTCTTTATTGATTTCACAGTCGCTCAACTGTGTTCTCAAACAATTTAAACCAATAAACCGAAATTAATAATAAATAATAAAAATGTTTTTTGTTTTATAAATCAAAGCCAATGAAACTGTTTATTCATTTAATTAAAAGTTAATTATTTATTAACTTAATTATTTATTTACAAAAACATATGGGAAATGCCCACTCATACAAAATACTGAAAAGTACATAAAATTAACCAACAATAATAATTATTATTATTATTATTATTATTATTATTATTATTATTATTTACGTAAATAATTATAAATAAATAATAAAAATAAAGAAATAATTAAATGAATAAAAAAATTTTCGACTAAAAAACAAAAGAATCAAGGAAGCAAATGAAAAAAATTATAATTTAAAAAAATTTTGAAATTGAAAAACAGGAAAAAAGAAAGAATCAAGAAAAAAATCCATAACCCCTCTGGGTTTTAAAATACTACATTTAAAAATTGATGTCGAAGTCATCAGGATACACGCATCGAATGTCTCAAGAAGCTTTTGCCATCGCACACACACTTTATGGGTATTTTCCTTTTTTTAAAGATTTAAGTGTTATCCAAGGTTATAAAGTTACTTTTATGGTGCTGATGCTCTGGGAAAACGGCTACGTGGAATAAATAATCAATACTGATACTGATGCTCTGCACTATCCTCTGGAATTTATTATTCATTAGTATCGATCACATACACCAACAACTATATATACATATAGTTTGCAAATGCAAGTCCACTGTGAGAAGAAGGCGCAGGATTGCACTTTTCAACGCATGAATAACTAAATACCATGCTTTAAATTTTCCTGAATTTTAATCACTCTACGGCGTAAGCATTTTTGTGCCTTTACACTTTAACGCTCTGATTTATAACAGAGAATTTTTAGCCGTGAGACTCTTTATACAAAATGCGTCAACATCTGTTTAAAAAAGAAATAAAAAGGAAAAAAAAAGAGAGAGAGAGCTTCTTTTTTAACCCTCTATATTTTTATGTAAATATTCCTTTGCCAGACACGCCTCCTTTTTTTAATCGACTATTACGAAAAAAGGATGCTGTATTTTAATATATTAATATTAATGTCAGTAAGCAAAATAATAATAACAATAATTATTTTTATATTATTTTTATTTATTTTTATTTATTTATATTTATTAAAATAATTATATTTTTATTATTATTATTATTATAATTATATATTAATATAATTATATATTTTTACCTATTATTATTAAGTCCGAGTGATTTTATTATAAAGAAATATTAACTAATATTTTTTTAAGTTAACAATAAAATTTATAAGTTAAATAATCTTTATCCTCCGAGATCATTTAGATTTCGAAATGTTGGAGTAAATAAATATTTTATTTATTGTCCGAATATTTTCGTTTAATTTGCCTTAATTAATAAAATTTATATTAATAATCTTTGTATTCCGATAATCTGTTCGCAGTTTGAAGTAAGTTGTTGTTTGCTTTTTTGTTTCCTAACTTTTTAAATAATTTTTCTTTTTCAATATTTTTAATTTTCAAATTAATTTATTAAAAATCACAGAATGTTTGCAAAGAATTTTATCAACAAATTTGAAGAATAATTGAATTTCTTCCAAGAATTTTATTATTTATAAAAATAATTGAATTCTCGCGAAGAATTATAGTAAAATTTTTAAAAATCATAATTTAATTCTTTTGAAGAATTTCTTTGAATTCTTTTTTAAATAATGGAGCTTGTTTAATAATTTTAATTAAAAATTTTGAAAGTAATTAAATTTTATGAACAATTTCTATCAAGTTTTTAAAATAATCGTGTTTCTTAATTATTGAAATTAAATCTTCAATTGGTGAATTTTATTAATAATTTTAGAAAATAAAAGTAATGTAGTTTTTTGAATATAATTTTAATTGAAAATTTTGAAAATAATTGAATTAAACAAAGAATTTTCTTCAAATTTCTAAAATAATCGTATGTGTTGATAATTATAATGAAATATTGGATTTTCGAACGTTATTAAAATTGTATTGAAAATAATTGAATTCTTGAGAAGAATTTTATTCTTTATAAAAAATAATTTCATTCTTGAGATGAATTTTACTACTTATAAAAATAATTAAATTATTTCGAAAGATTTATTAAAATTTTAGAAAATAATTAGATTCTTTCGAAACATTTTATTAAAAAATTTAAAGAAAATTGAATTCTTTCGTAGAATTTTTAAAAATTTTAGAAAATAATTCAATTTTTTCGAAAAATGTTTTTAAAAATTAAAAAAAAATGAATTCATGAAATTTGATTAAAATGATATTAAAAGTAATTGAATTATGGCAAAGAATTTTATTATTTATAAAAATAATTAAATTATTTCGAAGGATTTACTAAAATTTTAGAAAATAATTAGATTCTTTCGAAACATTTTATTAAAAAATTTAAAGAAAATTGAATTGTTTCGTAGAATTTTTAAAAATTTTAGAAAATAATTCAATTTTTTTGAAAAATGTTTTTAAAAATTAAAAAAAAATGAATTCATGAAATTTGATTAAAATGATATTAAAAGTAATTGAATTATTGCAAAGAATTTTATGATTTATAAAAATAATTGAATTTTTGCAAAAAAATTTTACTATTTATAAAAATTATTGAATTTTCCCTAAGAATGCTATTATTTACGAAAATAATTGAATTTTTGCGAAGAATTATATTAAATTTTTGAAAATTTAAACAATAATAATTAATTATGTACTTAATAAGTGAATTTTTAGTTCTAAGGTCCTTAATTTTAGATTTTAAGTGGCGACAGTCAATTATATAGTCAGACATCGAAATTATTTTTTTTTAATTATTCATTGGTCATTTTTATTAAAGTAACTTTTATTTTCTAAATTACGAAATTGTTGTTTTGAATTAATTTCTATTTTCGAAAGTTAAGAATTTAAGTGATGTAAGTCTATTATATAGTCAGAGATAGAAATTATTTTTAAAAATAATTCATTAGTAATTTTAATTTAAGTAATTTTTATTTTAGAGAGTATAGAATTCCAGTAGTGAAGGTCGATTATATAGTCAGACATCAAAATTATTATTATTCTTAATCTTTTAATTAACAATTAAAATTTAAAAAAATTTCGTACAACTTCATTTTATAATTACATTACATTTCAACTTGTTAATAAAATGAAAAATTCATTGAAATATAAATCGCTCATGAAAAAAGGAAGTAAACTTTTTCAGTTTAAAACCGAATAGTTTTCGTTTTTAATTTCTGGCTCGAATTCACATTGGAAAAAATCACCGATTCTGTAGTGCGCTATTATCTTTAGAAGAAGGCAAAAAAAAAGTAGGTACCTTGAACGACGAGTAACTCTGTGTTAGAGTGCGTTGGGGGTAAAAAAAAATTTTTTTTCCAGCCAATAGCGCACCATTCCCCTTTTCTACCCCCCCCCCCCTCTTTCTCTCGCGCGCGCTCATACTGTACATTACAGCGTGGTCGTGCCGCCGCAAGCAAATGGATAATGGTTCCCCATTTTAATGGAGGGTACACGCCGAAGCGGTTGAAATTAAGTACTATTTTAAGCTCCGTAGAGAGTCGCACGCTCGTTTCAGATTA